CACTTATACCCCTCTTCTTTGGATCGTCCAGCCCCTCGTCCAGATTAAGGTCATTGTTGTCGTCCTGCTCCGACTGCTCGGTGACGAGTCCGGCTGCTAGGTGTACGTGCCATACTAGGTGCCCAGCTGGGCATGCCCATCCGGCTCCAAGTCATCCACTTGGCCCTCCTCATAGTAGCATCTGCCTCCCTTCCGCCGTGGATGATCTCCATCATCTGCCTGTCTGCGTCGTCATATGATGTCTCACCCAACTTAGACATACCAATGAACAGAGAGTGGGCACCAACCTAATCCACGGTGTGTCTGCAAACGCATAAGCAGAGGTGACGAGTCGGGGAAATGGAGCAGCACTGCATTCACGCCGATGCAATATGCCATGTACCAGCGACAGAGGCCGGGGATTGCTGGTGGTAGACAAGATGCTTTGCGGCGTAGAAGTACGACCACTCATATTGCACCTGTCAGGGCGATGTGTGCATCGAGGGCTGCGACGGCGGCGCCCCACGTCCTAGCCCCGCCAAGCCCCCGAAACCCGTACCCCGCCACGCCAGCCCTTCCAGCCGCCCTTCTGTTTGATGCAGCGGGATTCCCGTGTCGCCGAGTTGATCCTCCGGGCCTTTGCGTTCTGTGGATCTTCCACCTCTACTTGCTCCGACAGCTCGTCAAGCATACATGCGGTGGTGGAAGCAAAAAAGGGTGAGAATTGGGGTGGACAGTGGCAATGATTGGAGCATAGATGGTGAAGAATGTGGGGGATTCTAGTGCAGAAACAATGCGGATCACTCGAAATGTGGGCGAGAAGTCCAATGTGATGCTCGTTGCATTCAATAGGAACCTCACTTCACAGGTAGCCATGACTGGGCCAGCCATGCACCTAGACTGTAGCGGACCGATTCACAGGACCTCCTATATGTCGCTTATTGCGGCAGGGAGTAACGGTTTCGCATGGGAGGGGGTTCCCCTAGGCTGGCCCATTCGCTGTCCTGCGCGGAATAAAAGGATGCAAAAAAGAAAGAGCGTGCTAGCAAGGCAGGTGGAGTGGTGGATGTCGGGTGTGTTTGGTTAGCGTCCACGCCAATGCCCACCTGGCCTGGACAGTGCCTGGACTATGCCTGGTACTTGTTTGCTTGCTGTCCTGGCTGAGAAAGTGCATGCCTGGCCTGGTCAATCTGTGGTTAGCCTGGCTCAACTAGAAAAAATATAATAAAATAAAACGCTTAACCCAGGCAAGTCACTTAGCCTGGCCCAGGCGTCCCATCCCCTGCGCCTGGGGTGCTAGCGTAGCTGCCTGGCAATAATTAAATGTTTTAAGTACTCTGACACACAGCGGCAAATTCTCATGTACAGCAGGCACGAACCAAACACACAAGGGTCAGGCTAGCCTGGCCAGGCAAACTTTTACACCATCCCAGGCTGTATCCAGGCAGCCCATTTTTCTAGGCACGGTGGCCAGGCATTCAACCAAACAGGCCCGCCATGCGCCAGCCACTCCGCCTGGCGAGCTATGTGTGAAAATTGGCAGCGCGATCTTTAAAGCCTAACAAGAAGCTGCACAAAATAAAACAAGTTTGCAAAATTCCATAAAACTTGTGGGCGAGGGATTGAACACAAGTACTCCCGCAAGGAAAACATGTCTATAGCATTGCAGTAACTGAGGTTTAGTGTGCAAAATGGCAGCCCAGTATATATGAACTATAATACGTGGCATATTAACAAAAATTAAAAATGCCAAACATGATTTTTTAAAAGGAAAATACCTTTTGAAATGCAAACTTTATTTGGGAAACTCAAAAAAATTAAAAACAAATAGGAACAAAAATTGAACACGAGAAAGATTTTTTGAAATAACGAACTACTTATTGGAAAAGCAAAACATTTTCTTAAAAACAATAAAGAAATATAAAATGAATATTTTTCAAAATTACAACTAGTTTTATGAAACTCAAACATTTTTTAAATTTTCAAAATAATTTTGAAAAGCAAGAATATTTTTTGAATTTGTGAACAAATTTAAAACTGTAGCGGTTTTCAATATGTGAACGAACTTGGAGAAAGGAACTTTTTAAAATTTGCAACATTTTCGAATGGTGAACAAAATTAAACATGCAATCATTTTTTGCATGTGTGAACAAATTTCAAAAACGAAAATATATTTTCAATTTGTGAACAAAATTTTAAATAGGAAGAATTTTAGAAATTCAGGAACATCTTTCAAATTGTGAAAAAAATTTGGAAACGGGAATTTCTTTTGAATGTCCGACACATTTTTTAATTTGTGAACAATATTTAAACAGGTGAACAACTTTTTTTTGAATTTGTGAACAAATTTTGAAAAGTGGAACTTTTTTTAAACCACATAGTTCTGCTTTGTGCAGAAAAATTAAAAAGGTGAACATTTTTTGATTTTCCGAAATGAAGCCAACATATTTTGATTTTTTTTTTGGAAATTGTGATCAAAATTTAAAAAATGAACATTATTATGAAAGAATGAACACAATTTGTAAAATGCGAACATTTAGAAAATTCCTGAATAATTTTGAAAGATTTGAGAAAGAAAAGTGAAAATGAAAAGAAAAGGAAAAAAAGAAAAACGAAAAAAGTAAATAAAATACACAGAAAAAGGAAAAACAAGAAATAGGAAAACAAAAAAGAAATGAAAAACAGAAAATAAAAAATATCAGGTTTAGAAACCTTCTAGAAGTTTCTGAAAACCGCAAAAAACCGGCTGAAAACCTCTAGAATGTTCCCAAAACCGGGAAGACAGACAACGCTTAAACGGGCCGGGCCAATCTAGAACGGGCCGGCTGGAGACACGATCTGGTTTTAATCTAGGAGTAGCTACCCTGTCCGCTCGAGAGTAGATTTTGAGAAGTTAGAAACGGTGGTTCCTAGCCGGACCTAAACTTAACTCCCTAAATTGTTTTTGCACACAATTTTCATTTCAAACAAAAAAGAAAACTACCAACTTACTTAATTAAACAAAAATAGCACATTATACATAGCATCATTAGAGGGTTCATAGAACTTAAAACTACATGCCATACTTAAAACTACTCAGATTCCCCATGAGCTCGTCCCAATGCACCTAGGAGTCGCCTGCAGTGGAGGACGGTTCGACATCATCATCGTTGTTGTTATGCTTCTTGTAGGCCTCATAGAATGCATGTTCCTCGACCACGAGGTTTAGATGCTTCCTTATGAGGTTAGCCATAATGGCCTCGTCGATGCGTTCGGCCTCGATCTGCTCGAAGGCCTCACGATTATCCTTTCCTCTCAGCGGGAGACAACTCGAGGCTCGATGAAGTCCGGGATGCTGCGGCTGCCGACAAGGAAGTTAACCTTGCCCGGCCGCCGAACAAACAAATCGCTGCCACGTCGTACGCACGAGCCGCCTGCGCGACGGACAA